CACACACACACACACACACACACACACACACACACACACAGACAGACACACGTGCACATACCCACACACAAGAGCACACACCCACACACAGGAGCACATCCCCCACACACATACACGATAACACACCACACACAGGAGCACATATGCACACACAAGAGCACACACCCACACAAAGAACACACATGCACACACACAAGCACACACCCACACACAGGAACACACATGAGCACACACCCACACACAGGAGCACACACCCACACACAAGAGCACACACAGGAGCACACACAGGAGCACACACAGGAGCACACACACAGGAGAACATATAGGAGCATACACACAACACACACACACACACACACAAGAGCACACATAGGCACACACACAGGAGCACACACACAGGAGAACATATAGGAGCATACACACAACACACACAACACACACACACACACACACACACAGACACACCAGCACACACCCATACACAAGAGCACACACCCACACACAGGAGCACACATGCACACAAGAGCACACACCCACACACAGGAGTACACACACAAGAGCACACACACATAAGAGCACACACATACACACACAGAAGCATACACACCCTATCCTGTCTTGTTAAAACATGAAAACTATCAGACTTACCAGTGTTTAGACTCCAGAGTGCCTCACAATGCCTGGGTCACCATGCTCAGTATCATGTCATGTCCTTCCTCTAGGACAATGACATTTTCACAATGCCTGCAGAGTCTGACAACAGAGACTATATGCCAAGAACAAGCAAGCCAGGCAGAGAGGACTGAAAATTCAGTCTTGAGCTTGATGACATCTGATCCTATGTCCTTGGCTATGCTGATCTGTCCCTGGCAGTAAGAGCCAGAAGCCAGATGTGGTCCAGAGCCTGCACACCTTTGGTGCCTGCTAAGATACTTCAGAGGCTCATCAGGGCTTTTGTAGATGAAACTGTAGGAGAGGGCAGGCCATGTGGACCAGCAGTGAGTGGTCACCCTGTGGACCAAGCAGTGAGTGGTCACCCCTGTGGACCAGCAGTGAGTGGTCACCCTGTGGACCAGCAGTGAGTGGTCACCCTGTGGACCAGCAGTGAGTGGTCACCCTGTGGGATAGCCACTGTTGTTTCTGTCCTTGGAGGAGGCAGCTGGCCTTGCTAGAACCTGTGGGCAGGGGATGTGGCCCAAAGAGGAGCTCGCCCCAGGCACAGATGTCCAGACCTCTGGTGGGGCTGGCCTCTTGAGAATATGTCTTGTTCATCTCCAGACAAGTAGTAGGTGAGTGACAGGCAGTTTCTTTGTGGTGACAGTCAGCAGCGGGTACAGAGGTGAACAGCTGTCTGCAGCCACACTGTGTAACAAGCCTAGCACCACAACCTGCAGCCAGCATCTGTTGGCACGTGTCAGGTGTCCCTGGCTCAGTTGTCTGAGTCTGTTGTGAGGGCAAGGACCATGGTTCAGGAGAGTTAGAGTGGGGACAGACAGACTTTTGAAGTCATTTTAAAGGCAAAGGGGTGTGAGTTGGTGGGGATCACCCATCTTTTGTAGGTGTTAAAGCACAAGGATACATGGGAGACTGGACCTTGGGTGTGAGGGTACCAGGCTCATCTGGAAGCACAGTGTAGAGAGAGGAACTCCTAGGAGAGTGTGAGGTGCCAGGTGTCATGTCAGGGCATCCGTGGCGTCCTTCACAGGGAGGCCTGTGCATGAAAGAGGGTGTAAAGAAGGCGTGGCCTGGCTGACAGCTGAATTTCTTTGCAGATGCTGAAAGTAAAGCATGCAGTCCCAATGAAGGCTCCCAACCTGTGCAGAGTGAGCCATCCACTGCCGAGCAGGAGACACTGACCTCGGATGGCATCCAGCCTGGAAGTCCCTTGGCCAGTGGGACAGATGAGGCCTCCCAGGCTGAGCTTCTGTCCTCCGATGCCCATCTGGATGACACAGGTACCAGCTGGAGACCCAGAGGTCTGAGCACCCCTCAGCAAGGGCTTAGACAGTCGCCTCAGTGTCAAGACTGGGTACCTCATGACTGGGGGACCTAAATGCCCCCTGGAATTCTCTTCTCATGGCTCCTCCCAAATTGGGTGCAGGAAGAGTAAGGGACCTAAGATGGCTATGGATGTCCTCCTGCCATGTGCCACCCGAAGTCACCGAATGCAGGGGTGCGTTTCAGCCATCCCCCAAATGGGCATGTCCTGGGCAGTGGCCTAATCCTGGAGCAGATGGCTTCTTTTCAAGAGATGCCAGAGTAGGTGTGTAGTGAGAGAGCCATGCTGTGATGTAGCCTGTATGAGGCTCTCCGCAGCTTCTCAGGTGGCTCTGCTAGTGGGGTCCTCTGTTAAACGGGAGAAGTTATAGGATTAACATCAGGGTTGTGTAGAGCATGAAGGAACTCACTCAGTACCATGTCCCCAAGTACCCATTGTTGGTGGAGTGGGAACAAGGCTGGTGTTTTTGTTTTAAGGGAGTAGACAGGAGCTTTGGTGACAAAAAGAAAAGCACAAAGGAGCTCAGGCTCCACCTTGCTCCCTGACTAAGCAGCACCTTAAGCTACCTTCTGAGACCCCGCTGTGTCCTGGGAGCCTGTTCTAGCTCATGCTGCCCCATGCCTGAATCCATGCTGAACAGTTGGGGAACTGGAGATTGAACCCCACATCTCTCTAGAGGTCTTGGGAACCCAGGCTGGGGGTGAACCCTCTAGGCTTCTGCTCCAGCCCCATGGATGTTTGCTCCCTGGCCTCTCCTTCACAAGCCATAGTCACTGAGTGCTCTTTGCTAGCTGTCTGTCCCTAGATTCCCTGCCATGTTGGCATCTGCTCATGGTGTGTGTGCTGTTCCTCTGGGGTGACTGTGCCTCTCCAGTTTCACTTGGCTTGGGGACATAATGGGGATTTTGAGTCTGAGGAGTTGTCGACCCAGGGAGGAAAAGGCCCAGCTGTTGTACACCAGTCACACCTTGAGACCCAGACATCTGACCCCGCAGACCTGGGTTGGCATAGTCTAATGACTGTGAGTGGAGCCTGTAATCTGTGGTCACTGTTCCCCTGCCCTGGACTTAACCTTCAAGCACCCCCACATGGCTGGATCTCTGTCCTCAGCTCCTACTAGTCATTCTTCCTTTTTTGGTGGTTCTTTGTTCCCACCTGGCTCTGAATAGCTGCAGATGATGCTGTGTCTGAGCTCAGGTGCTTCTGAGGTACAATGCTTGGGGATGGCCTCCTGGGAGCTGAGTGGATGTGGCAGGGCCATCATGTCTTACTCTGGTCTTCAGAGCCAAGGCAGGGCAGGTCCTGGCAGAGTGAGGGGATGCTAGCCCCTGGAGGGGAATAGCATACACAACAGAGGACAGGATTGGTGTCTTTTCCCTGGAGGGCCACAGTGAATGCTGTCATCTCAGGGATTGGGACATCTGATTGTGGCCAAATTCATCTGCCCCAAATCTCCAGGGGTATGTGAGTGATGGGTTCAGGGCATTGCTAGAGGTTGTTCCCTCCACTGAGCACAGGCTGGGCTGGTGGCCTTGGTCATCTAAGAAGCAGGAGAGACTAGGGAGTTGAATATGGTGAAATGTGGCCTGTGTTGGGTTAGGCAGAGATGGGAGGAGGCAACTGGCCTGGGCAAACCCACGGGCAGAGGGAAGCCCAGCAAAGAGTGACAAGAGGACTTAGCTGATGATGAGCTCTGGGCTGTGGTCAGTTGAAGCGATGCCTACCTCATGTGGGTCTGAGGGCATGTAGTCTTCTCATTTTCCCAGCTGAGATGTAGGAAGGTCCTGAACCCTCAGGAATGTGAAGAGACTTGATGGCTGATGTGGACATACAGAAAACATTCCCATAATGCTTTGCTTACTCTCACTAATTGGTGCCAGTGGCAGAGGGACTTTTCACCCTGGGTCTTGAGAGTTTTTCATTCCCCTTCTTTCCGTGCTGGGGTGTGCGTGCGGGTGGGTGTGGGCGGGGGTGTCTGGGTGTG